TGGGGTAGCGAATCCGCTGCCCGGCGCAGCCGCCCGGGTCCCCGAGGGACTCAGAGCTCCCCGGCATGGGCGCCTCTTCTGCTCGTTTCTTCTGTTCATTTCTTAATACACAGCTGAGTGTTTCTTTACACTTTCTTAATCTCTGTTTGTTTCTCTTTTGCATCCCTAAGTGATTTTTCTGAGAGGTTCTGTTTGCTTGGTTAAAACACAATCAACGCTGAACTATACTTTTGTTTTCAAAAGTTTTAAGTGCGGTCTTTGGTTGGTTTTATTTTTAAAACCTAGAGAGATATATAATCATAGATTGATTTTTTGAACCAAATCTATGAGGATGAATTAACAATTTTAACTTTATCTTTCGATTTTGAAAGAATTAATATACTAAGTGTAGGTCTCTGGAATTTAAAATATCTACATGCAACATTATTCTTCCGGAGATTTTAAAAAGTCAATCCAAAATGGCGCGTTTCTCCGGAATTTTCTCAAAATCCATTTACAGTGGTGTTATTTGGGGAATTTAAATTATATAACTATAATGTGTTTCTCTGGGATTTAAAAATTATCTCTGTAAGGGCCTTATTGGGAGGGAGTTAAAAATCTATTTACAACGGTACATTATTTTTTTAAATCCCAAAGAAATAAATGCTTCTGTCAGCCTGGAGTTTATACACTTACAGGTCTGTATTTAGTTAGGGGTGTGTTTGTACCGCGCTTTCTGGCTTCTTAATTTACATTTGCTCTGTGTTTCTTCCTGTCTGATTTTGAGAATTTGTGGCCCTTTCTGTGTCTTTAGGCATAGAGCTGTGAGCTTTTCTGGGCTTCTGTGTTTTGTTTTTAAACTCTTTTTCTTTATGTATCAATGTTTCTATGGCTGCGTGTGTTTTGTGTAGCTTCAAAGAGAGACAGACTGAAGCCCGAGGTCACCTAGACAGAGTCTGTCTGTCTGGGCTGCAGTTGGTGGGGTTTTCTAGGCTTTGGGACTGGAGACCTGGAAGCAAGGCCGAGAACCGGCTGTGTTGTGCCTGCCCAGTGGGGCTCCCACACATCCCTGAGGAGAAAAAAGTGGAGGAGTTTAGGCTGGAAAGATCTGCTCCTAGTTCAGAAAAGCAGAGACCCCCCTCAGATTTAGACCCCCTAAGAGCTCGCAAAACAAACAAAACAAAGCATACATTTGCTCCGAACATCAGCAGCAGGGCAGTCTGAGCCGAGCTAAGGTTGCAGGCCCTGCCCAGCCAGGAACCCAGGCCCGCGGCTAGGGCTCCGATTCTTGGGCTCTTCTCCGCGGTACACCAGACTAGAGGTGCCTAATGACGACCAGCACCCGGCAGGCGCTTTCCAGTGGGGACAGTTCCCAGGGACCCTGGAGGGAGGGAAGGAGGGAAGACCTCCAGCGCTGGTGGCTTGGCGGGCGCTTCGGTGGAGCCGGGACGGGGTGCAACGGGGCGTAAGCCCAGGTGACCTGCTCCACGTCCTGCCTACTGCAGAGAAGGAGCGCGGCGGGGAATCCAAGGGGCCTGAGGACAGTGGCACGGGAGGCACGGGCTGCGGCAGCGCAGACGACCCAGCCAAGAAGAAGAAGCAGCGGCGACAACGTACGCACTTCACAAGCCAGCAGTTGCAAGAGCTAGAGGCCACGTTCCAGAGGAACCGCTACCCCGACATGAGCATGAGGGAGGAGATCGCCGTGTGGACCAACCTCACCGAGCCACGCGTGCGGGTGAGCAAGGGGTGCGCCTAAGAGCACCCGCGCAGAGGGCTCCCGGGCCGCCTCTGCTGCAGCCCTCCAAAGCTTAGACCCACAAGCAGACCTTAACTCTCCCACCATTCAGAACTGGTCCCTCCCACCACCGGCGATCCCCACCTTAGGCCCTGGCCCACCTAGCGTCTGCCAGGCCTCCAGGCCGCCATGGACCTCCAACCCCTCTGACCGTCATCCTACCTGATCCTCGGACTAAGGCAGCCCCAGCCCAAAGACCTGTGCCCTCAGGGGACTCCCCCATGCCCTGTGGGGCCCAGGACCCACTTGGATGTTAACAGGATACCCTGGGCCAGAGACTGGGCAGTGGATTCCCTGCCGCTGGGGACTTCGGGAGCTGCTGGCTTTACCCCGAAAACGAAAGGGAAAGGCAGGTCCTGCCTGGCTGCCTCGGAGAAGCCAGAAAGGTGCCTGGGTTTGGGGCTCTCAAAACTTCCTGGAGCAGTGGTCCCATCTCACAAGCAGATTCTCTAAAAGCTCAAGATATTCTCCACCCTCCCCAGCCGTCAGTAGGACCCTTTGCCTTCTGCCTTTTCCAGAAGGTCTCCTGTCTGGTGAGGTGGGGGGTGGCTCTGGGACCCAAATGTCCTTCCCAATCCCTTTTGGGATATGCCATCTCAGACCCAAGACCAGCCTGCATTCTCCCTCTTCTCACCCGTTCGGTTTCAAGTAAAAGCAAGGCTTTCCTGCCACGGTAGCAACAGAATCATTTCTTCCCTGGGGGCGCAAATATTTAATCAGATATTGGGAGCACCTCCCAAGTCGACCGAAGTCCCACCTGGCCCACAGACTCCTTACCATAACCCGCACCCCTCCCTAGGCAGGCTGGCCAGCCCAGTGGGACTTGGAGTGAAGACACAGCACTCAGTAATCCTGAACTCACTAATCCTGCCCAGGTTTATGGTGGTAGGGGTGAGTGGGGGTGGAATCAGGCAGTGTCAGTGCTGGGGACTAGGGAAAGCTGAGAAGCAGGGGTCTGGCAAACTAGCTCAGGAAACTTCACTCAGAACTGGAGGAAAATCCGAGAGGGCAGAGAGCATGCGGTAGGCAGATAGGTAAGGATGGGGAAGGACTAGGAGGTTGTCACCAAATTTGGGGGGAGAAAAGGAAGGGCAGGAAGATTAGAAGAAACTAGTAAGAATAGAAAAAATTAAATATTTGTGGAGAAACATATTTGGCATATATTTAGGCGGCAGGAAAGAAATTAGGAAGCAAAAAGATCAGGTATTTGAGAAAAAGAATCAACTGTTTAAGGGGAACAGTAGAGGTCAGATATTTGGAAAGGATGAAAAAGCCTAATATTTGGGGACGATTCAAAAGGATCAAAAATGGGGGATAAACAAGAAAACAGACTGAGGGAGAAGAAAGAGGTTCAGACAGCGGGATGGACTAAACGAAAATAAACATTTGGAGCCGAAAAGAAAACATCAAATATTGCCGATAAAGATGATAGCAAACTATTTGAGCGATGAAACAGATCGAAGAATTGGGGGAGTCGGGAAGTCCTATGTCTCAGGGAGGAAAAATACCTTTTGTATTTGAGGGAGAATAAGAAGACTGAAATATTTAGTAGAGTGAACCCGTTTGGGGGAGAAGGCAGAGGTGAACTGGTTGAGAGAGGAAGAAAGAAAACGAGTATCTGTTCAAATAAACGAGAATCTGTATTCGGAGAAGAAAATGGATACAATTTGGGAGAGAGGATAAAGATCGGAAAAAGAAAATAGTATTTTCTGGGGACAGGAAAGGTACCATTGTGGAGGGAATGCAGAAGCGGAAATATCGGTAGAAGGAGAGAAACGACAGTTCGGAGGGCAGCGGGCGGATGGAGGGCTCCAGGCGGTGGGGAGCCAGGTGGGGGCCCTCCCGGCCCACAGCAGCCCTGACCCTTCTCCCGTCCCCTCCCCCAGGTCTGGTTCAAGAACCGGCGAGCCAAGTGGCGGAAGCGTGAGCGTAACCAGCAGCTGGACCTGTGCAAGGGTGGCTACGTGCCGCAGTTCAGCGGCCTGGTGCAGCCCTACGAGGACGTGTACGCCGCCGGCTACTCCTACAACAACTGGGCCGCCAAGAGCCTGGCGCCAGCGCCGCTCTCCACCAAAAGCTTCACCTTCTTCAACTCTATGAGCCCGCTGTCGTCGCAGTCCATGTTCTCGGCACCCAGCTCCATCTCCTCCATGACCATGCCGTCCAGCATGGGACCAGGCGCCGTGCCTGGCATGCCCAACTCGGGCCTCAACAACATCAACAACCTCACCGGCTCCTCGCTCAACTCCGCCATGTCGCCGGGCGCCTGCCCGTACGGCACTCCCGCCTCGCCCTACACCGTCTACCGGGACACGTGCAACTCGAGCCTAGCCAGCCTGAGGCTCAAGTCCAAACAGCACTCGTCGTTCGGCTACGGTGGCCTGCAGGGCCCGGCCTCGGGCCTCAACGCGTGCCAGTACAACAGCTGACCGCCCCGCCGCACCACGCGGGCCGGCTGCCGGCACAGGGAAGGGCTCGGGCGCGGAGGACGCACGCGGGGCCCCCGGCTCGCAAGCCCCGGCTCACCGCTTTGCGGACCTCGCGCCTGCGCAGCCCCCTCCTCCCACTTCCTACTCTGGGTTGGTTTTGTGTTTGCTTTTCCGGATCCCACTCTGCCCTCCAAAAAGACAAAAAAAAAAAACAAAGCAAAAAGACGTCGGAGAAAAGTGCCGCGAAAAAAATGGATGAGTTGCAATTTCCCTCGGGATGGCGCGGGTGGTGTGTGTGTGTTCCCACGGGCCCCGGAGGCCCACTCCGCGGAGGGGACGCGGCGCGGTAGGCGAGCGGGGCCCCTCCCCCGGCGGGATGCCCAGCGGCCGGGGGAGGACGCCCTCGTAGCCCGCGTCCCCGCCGCGCTGGACCCATACTGAGCGGCCGGGCCTGCGGACTGGATGTGTGGGACCTGGACTTGCCTGGGATTTCCCGACCCCGTACAAACCAAGATGCCCTCTCCAAGCTGGGCCCGGCCGAGAGCGCCTTAGCTCAAGTCGGGATCCACGTTGGGGCAGGCGTTGGATTGGGGGTGACGGTGCCCCAGCCCAGGATCCGGCACTTGGTGGAGCCGCACTCGGCTCCGGCGCGCCTGGTAGAGCCCCGCTGGCCCTGCGCCCCGGAGCCCTATATTGAGGCCACGGAGCGGCAGCGGGCAGTGCGGACCTGGCGGGAGGAGGGGGAGGTCCGTCTCAGAACACCCCCAGCCTCGAGCTTAGCCGCAAGCCCAGGCCCTCTGCTCTGCTCCCGGGCTAGGAGGCGGCCCCCTGTCTGGGCGAACAGTCCCCTCCTCACCGCCCGCCGTGCAAGAGTCGAGCCGGTAGAGCAAGGGGCGCGGCCCCAGGGCCCTGCGCCCACTTTGCACACCCGCTCTCCGGCCCGCGCCCCTGTTTACAGCGTCCCTGTGTATGTTGGACTGACTGTATAGAATTATAAATCTGTCTATATCGACTTGTCCATGTACGTCTATTAAAACCATAGTCCGAGCGTGCTAAGCACTGCTGAGCCCCGACTGCTTCATTGGGCTGAGGAGGGAGGCGGATAGAAAGGGAACTGTGGGTAGAAAGGGAACCGGGCCCCTTGGGTAGGAGGGGAGCACCAAGGCAGCCCCCGCCGAGGTCTCCCTACCCCGCTTCCCCACCACCATTCTTGACCTGCTCAGCCTGGCTGCCATGAGGGCACCGACCGACGTTGCGAGCCCGCCCGGTGCGCGCCCGCTAAGCTGCGCCTCTCGGCGTTGTGCGCGGGATGCCTTAGCAAGAACCCCCTCCCTCCACGGCTGCCGAACTGTGCAGGTTCTTCCCTGGTGACCCTCGAGGCCCCAGGGTGCGATGGGGTCCTTGCCTGCCCAGAGCTTTCGGGCAGGGGGCTGCTGAGAGCCTCTTTAGACCTGGGGTTGCCTTTTCTTCTGTGGGTCCGGCAACAACCCCTCTTCTCTCCTCGGAGCCAGGGCCAGGCTGTTCCAGGACTCAGGGAGCTGGATCTATCAGAGTCTAGCGAGGGCCTCCCGCTGCCTTTCTCCCTAATGCCCGCAACGTGCCGAGGGCCCACCCAGGGGCGTGCGGCTGTGCAGGAGAAAGTGTCCGTCACACAGGACTCATTTCTCACTTCCAATACATCTCAACTTGTGGGGACTGCTGGCCGCCTCCGCCCTCCCCTGGCTTTTGGAACTACTGAACAAGACCAGCCTGTAAACTGCCTGTAAAATTCTGCTTCCCTTAAGTAAGTCATTTCTAATGGCAAAACAAAATGTTTGCAGCTGCAGTGGGGGAGGAAGGAGGGGTTGATATTCTGCTTTAGAATCACCTTATAATGGGGGTTGGCACTGCCCTGGACTCAGGCGAGCCCTAGCTAGGAGTGGGGCACAGCCACAGGCTTAGTCACGAGCTGACAGCTGGAGAGCCCTGTGCACACATTCTCAAGCCAGGTCAACACAGCCTTTGAGGTCAGGAGTGTTGTCCCTATTTTACAGATGGAACCAAGGCTCTGTAGCTGGGCCAAGGTCACACTGAGCCAGTAGGTTTTTAGATTCCAAAGCCAGGCATTTTTCCACTGATTTTCTCACCTTCAGATGAGGAATGAAGAGGGGTCCTCTCTGGAGGATGGTCAGCCTGATGCTGTGAGACCTGGAGTGTGGAGCTCTGAGATGGACAGTGCCAGATACACAGGCTAGTGGGGGTGGGGGTGGAATAGGGCAGGGGGCTGGAGCCAGACCACCCCTCCCCCAGCGGCTCCAATCCAGAGCGCCGACCCACTCTCTGGGAACATAAACACAACTACATCTGGACTTGGAGGGCCTCCCTCAGACTCACACATCTGCCAAGGCCAGAGGGCCCTGGTCTCAGCTGAGGGCAGGAGTCAGGGGAGACCTAGAAGGAGGCGGGCTGGAGGAAAGTGAGGAGCAAAAAGGAAGCCTCTCTGAAAGTCAGGTCTAGCACCAGGTGTGAGGGGAGCCACACAGGGCTCAGGTGGAGATGCAGTGTGGCTGTGGGGCCACAGGCCAAACAGCTGCAGACGGGTCAAAGGGTAGAAGTAGTCCCAGAATGACCCCATCATCCATCAAGGACTGTGGCCAACCAGGTGAGTGAAAGACCCAGCCGCAGGCCCCTCCCAGCTGTTCCCACCCAGCTATTCTGTGGCTGGCAGAGACTACAGCATGCAGCCCTTTGCCGCTGCTTCGGCTGCAGGGTCATCACTGAAGGGGGCTTGGGACTATAGGGGGCTCTGAAAGCCCAATCCTCTGGAAAAAAAAAAAAAAAAGGCAGAATTCCTAGCCAGCTCTGCCTGAAGAAGATTGGGGGAGGGGACCGCCATTCATTGAACATTGACCGTGCCCCTGCTCTCAGTGCTAGGATGGAGCAGTGGAAACAGACACAGCCCCCGCTCTGCTGGACAAGTAAACAGACGTGTGTAATTACAACCTAGGCTGAAGAAAAACAACAGGGTGCTGTGAGAGTAAATGGGGTCTTGCTTTAAACAAGGTGGTCAGGCAAGGCCCTTCTGGGGAGGCGGCTCCATCCCTATATTCAGTACCAAGCTCCAATGCTGACTGAACCTACACAAGGCCCCAGGCCCCAAGCTAAGTGTACACTCCTCATTCATAAGCCCCTTTACCTGCACACAGCCCTGTGAGGCTGGTATGGTTATTCTTTTATTAAAGTGAAATGCCCTGGCTCTCCTCTTGAGGTCCTATTCCCTGCTTTCTGCATTAATAGGACTTCCCTGTCAAAATTTCTCAACAGGTCACTTTAGATGTCATTTGGGGTTTTCCCAGCTCAGCTTTCCCTCCCTGCCTCTGCAGGGTGTCCTGAATATGAGTCATGATTGACAGTCCTCCTAGCCACACCCCCACCCCACCCCAGGAACTATCCTAGATGCTGGGCCCTCGGTCACCCAGCCTATTGTCCTGTGGTACAATCTTCCCATCATCCTCTGTGGGCCAGGCCCTGGGAGAGGAACCAGGCCCAATTCCTGCCACCCACTGGGCCTCTGGGGAGAGGCAGAGCCCAGTCAATACCCTAAGAGATGACAGGACGCAGGGCCGGGGGGAGCAGGCAAAGCAGGGGTACTCACCCCAGCATGCTCTTCTAGGGGTGTCCTGCGCCATGAAGCAAGGATGCCTGGACACTTCTTTTTGTTTGCATATCATGTTATGAGTAGCTAACAGCAGGCTCTTCCTGAGCACCAGGCCCCAGCAAAGCTCCTCATAGCAACTTCATGACGGAGGGATATGTTATCCTTATTTTTCACAGGAAGAAACTGAAGCTCAAAGGGAATCAGTAACTTGCCCAACATGGCACAGACAGCTAATGAGAGGTAGAGGCAGCACCTGAACTCAGACCCTCTGACCAGAGCGTGCGCTCGCACCCACCGTGCTGTACACTCCCCTTACATGAATCACATTTGTATTCAGGAGGGAAAGGAAATAAAAAATTAGATTTCTCTTCAAGAAGCTAGACTCAGCTGGGCTCCAGAACGGAGACAGAAAAGGCCCCAGGGCCTAGGATTTGCCCTCCTAAGCTCCAAGCTATGTGACAGCAGCAGAGGGCACAGGTAGCGGGGACAGAGGAAGCCCTGGGGTGGGGGCAGGCAGAGACACAGAGCAGCTTTTTGGTGAAGAAAGGGCCCTGAATTCTCAATCAGGAAATCCAAGCTCCCACGTCAGTCCGGATTACAAGCTTCCTGTTTCCGAGATAGGGAGAACCCCCCCCACCCCGAGGCCACCTCCCAGCCCCTGCTGGTGCCTGCCTCCTTGCCCCTCCCATCAGGGGAACCCCACTCTTCACACTCCCACGTTGCTTTTGCAGGTTCCTGGGTCCTGCCTCCTGACTGGCTGGTACTGCCCAGGACAGGTGCCTACCTGTCAAGCAGCTGCAGAGCACTCAGGAGACATGGCCACTGGAGCCCTGGCTGGAGGGGCTGCAATTCCATGAATCAGACCACTGCAGAGGAGCAGGTCAGGGTACAGGAAGCTGCTCGTGGAGCAGGGAGGAGGCAGAGGGCAGGATGGCCCTCACATGAAAGCTGCTCTGGCTGGCTGAGGCACGTGTCTCACTCTGTGCTGTCCCCCCACTGCACTTGACATGTTTCATTTATCTTATTAGCTTCATTTTATAAATGGGGAATGTGGAGCTCAGAGAGGTCATGTAACCTGTCCTAAGCTGCACCACACCACTTTAGGGACTCAATCTCTAGCCTGACTGCAGAGTCTATGGGCTGTGACTATAAACACTGCCTCCCAGAGGCTGGCCCTGGCAGCTGGACAGGATCAGTGTACTCAGAGGGCCAGCACAGTGAACTGAGTCAAACAGGTATAGACAGCATCCCCTCAGAAGTGTCTGCACATGGTAGATGCTCAATCAATATTTGTTAAATAAAATAATTGAGGCACTTTGGGAGGCCAAGGCAGGCAGATCATGAGGTCAGGAGATCGAGACCATACTGGCTGACACGGTGAAACTTTGTCTCTACTAAAAATACAAAAAACCATTATCTGGGTATGGTGGCAGGTGCCTGTATTCCCCAGCTACTTGGGAGGCTGAGGCAGGAGAATGGCGTGAACCCAGAAGGCAGAGCTTGCAGTGAACCGAGATCGCGCCACTGCACTCCAGCCTGGGCAACAGTGCGAGACTCCGTCTCAAAAAAAAAAAATTTGAGGGATGGCCGTCCCTCACCCCAACACTCCACAAAACATATCTTGACCCTTTCTCCCTCTCTGAACTCCTTTCTGTCCTCTATCTTGCATTTTTCCTTCTTCTGCCACTCACTCGCTCACTCCTTTTCAGCACAGGCAGCTCTTGGCACCGTGTTTCGGAACAACAAAATAACCAAATTCAAAAATGGGCAAAGGACTTGAATAGACGTTTCTCCAAACAAGACATACAAATGACCAATAAGCACATGAAAAGAGACTCAAAATTGCTAGTTATTAGGAAAATGCAAATCAAAACCACAATGAGATACCATCTCACACCCATCAGGATGACAATTATCAAAAAAGATAATAACAAGTGTTGGCGGCCGGGCGCAATGGCTCACGCCTGTAATCCCAGCACTTTGGGAGGCCGAGGCAGGCGGATCACCTGAGGTCGGAGTTTGAGACCAGCCTGACCAACACGGAGAAACCCCGTCTCTACTAAAAATACAAAATTAGCTGGGCGTGGTGGCACATGCCTGTAATCCCAGCTACTAGGAAGGCTGAGGCAGGAGAATCGCTTGAACCTGAGGCGGAGGTCATGGTGAGCGGAGATCGCACCATTGCACTCCAGCCTGGGCAATAAGAGTGAAACTCCGTCTCAAAAAAAAAAAAAAAAAAAAACAAGTGTTGGCAAGGATGCAGAGAAATTGGGACCCTTGTGCACTGCTTGTGGGAATGTAAAATGGTACAGCCACTACAGAAAACAGTACGATGGGCCGGGCGCGGTGGCTCACACCTGTAATCCCAACACTTTGGGAGGCCGGGGTGGGCAGATCATTTGAGGTCAGGAGTTTGAGACCA